CACAGAAGAGTTAACTATGGTTATAAAAAAATTAACACTAACAATCTAGAAATAAAGTACAGATGAGAGAGACTGGGATATCAAGATGCAGAAGAGTGCGTGAAAAGCTGAGGGGATGCTAATATTCTCATACCACAATCTGGGGAGTGAAAAGATAGTGTTTATTTCTGAAGGGTCAGGAAATAATTCTGTGGGTGTATTAGTTAAAGGTGCAAGGTGCAAGGGTAAGATGTAGGAAAAGAATAAAAAGCAGGTCATTGGGATGGTGATCAATAATGAGGAATAAATGGAAATTTTGGGACATCTCTGATGGAATACAATGCAGTAAAAAAAAAGAAGGCCATTTAGATATAGGAAAATGTTTGAGATAAAACTTTAACAGGAAAAAAGTAGATTATAAAATTTTATTTATAAAATGTTATTTAGTTATTTCCGGATGACAGGCTCATGGATGATTTTTCAATGCTTAGTTTATTCAACATATCTCCTGTATTCATCATTCAGCAGGATTATTGGGTGTCTCTCATGCTTTTGGCAGGAGAAATGGATATGGCACCTTACAAAGACAACCAAGGCCCTGCCACACAGTCTACAGTCCAGCAAGAAAGATATATATCGTACCAGTAGTTATAAAGATATGTGAGCTTTATGATGTAGCACAGTTTTGATGTTAGGAGAACATAAAGCACTGGCCCTAAACCTAATCTGGAATGTTAGCTAAGATTTTTTTCAACAAATGACTTTTAAATTAATTAATGCAAATTGATGAATAAAATTATATATATTTATGGCGTACAACATTTTGATATATGTATACACCGTGGAATGGCTAAATCGAGTTAATTAACGTACCTTTTACCTCACATACCAGTTTTTGTGATAAGAACATTTAAAATCTACTCTCTTAATTACCTTTAAGTTTTAAAGTAAGAGACTTTCTTCTTTTTTAAAGCAGAGATTCACAATTAAGAACACAGTGTTCTCTCAATTACATAAAATGTATGAGCTCAGGAAAAATGCTCAAGGTAAACAACAAAATATTAACTGTAATTGTCTTTAGG